CTATAAAAGTAAATGGAGGCCAAGTTGAGGCTTCAGAGGTTAAGCAGACACAAACATACACAAACAAACATATATGTATATATGCTAATAAAATAAGACAACAGCAAAAGGCAAGAGGAAGATTGACAGAATAACAATTCCTGATTTGTGAAATGGAAAATTAGAAACTTATTTCTTTTCCTCCTTATTGATTTATTTTGTGACTTTTGGTACCTTTATTTCATAGAGAAAAAGCCTACAACATACTAATCAATATATTTATTTTGTCAAATGATAGAGTTATCAATAATTTCACTTGTGGTATAGATGACCAGCAGTGAAAATAATTTAGTAGCACTATTTTGGTAACTAGGTAAGATAATCATACTTTAAATGCAAAGTAAACATACTCTTAACGCATGAGTCATAAATTATACTCTTTAGTACTTATCTAAATAACTTGAAAATGTGTGTCACACAAACCTTCATATAGAGACGTTCACAGCAGCTTTGTTCAAGTTTACCCAAAACTTGGAATCAACTGATTCCAGGGAAAATAATACTGTTTCATCAGTCAATTTAGCTGTTAATGGGAGCCAGGTGATTAATAGAGTTTCAGCCTAAGTGTGTCCTATAGTGCATCCAGGAGTTTCTTGATTTCATCCTATAGTCATTTTGCCAGATCTGGATTGCACAATTTGAATAGATATGCTCTGCAGCTGGCAGAATTTGTGTATTGTTCCCCTTGACTTGTGCAGTTAGGGCTACTGTGGTACGGAAAGTCAGACAAAAACCGTGAGAATGTACAATAACCCAAGAGTTCCAGGAGATATTGCAGAGATACCATTACCACCAAAAACTTGAAGGGTGCAAGGGTGATGAGGCTCACTATATCCTCATTCAACCAGGCATTTTGGTCTGTGTAGTGGAAAGAATGTATCTTGGAGAATGATAATGAATTATTATAAATTTGAGTAGGGATTGTAACTGAAGTTACTATACCACACATCATTTTGCTCTTGAGAAAACTGAAACGTCTCCGCTTACATGGTGCGTAGCTATTAGCTAGCAAATGTCTTTTCCTCCATCTTTGTCAATAAAGCCCACTAGAAGCAGTTTGCTTTCATCAGGCAAGCCAAGAAATATACTCTCACAGTGCTACCTATGGGATATATAAGTCTCCTGCTTATTTTATAATTCTTTTTGTAGGCAACTGTACTGTCTTTCACCTTTACAAACTATCACACTGGTCCATTACATCAGTGATATTATCCTGACAGGATCCAGTGAGCAAAGCATACCCACTAGTTTCACTAAGTATTTTTATTATAACAGAAGGTTGGAAATTAATGCAACAACAATTTAGTCTTACATCACAGTGAAATTTCTAGTGGTCCAATGGCATGGAGTATGTTAACATATCCCTTTCATTGTGAAGGATAAGTTGTTGAGTCTGGCCCCTGAAAAACCTAAAAGTGAGTTACAACACCTTGGTGTTCATCTTTGAATTTTGGAAGTGGCACATTCCCCATTTAGAAGTGTTTGTCTTGCCCATTTATCACATGATCTAAAAAGTTGCTAGTTTTAAATGAGGCCAAGAAAAAGAAAACTTTCTTCAACTGATTCAGGGTATTTTAAAAGCTGAGCAGCCCCTTGGGTCACACTGCTCTATAGATCCAACGGTTCTTGAAATATCAATGGTAGTGGAGCCTTTGGCAGGAAACTATAGGTAAATCACCACACAGGTCCTTTGGGCTCTGGAGTAAAGATGTGCTATCTTTTATTGATTTACTTTTCTTTTACAAAGTAGTCTGGCCTTCTACCAGCCTAATAGACACTGAATAGGCAATGGCTACCAAGTTACCTGAAACCTGAGGAGCTTATTGTGAATTGCAGCCTGGCATACCAAGCTACTAAGGTGGAACACACAAAAGTCCTTTGTTAACAGTGAGCGTGGTATAGAAGCAATTGGGCTTTGGCAGACCATGAAGATACAAGTAAGTTAAATGAAGAAGTATAGCCCGAAGGCCTAAAGTCTCAGTCTTAACCTGTTGCTTTAGTTCTGTGGAGGATCCCTAGTATTAGTTGGAAGGAGAAGAAAAATTCTGGTCTAATTTCCATATAACTCAGCCTCACATGTAGCCAATACTTGAAAGTGAACCATTGTAGCATCACAAGCTCCTTTCTGGTCATCTTCAAAAGGCATAGATGAGTAAAATATTCCAGTGTACATAATTTGATCAGTGACTTTGGCTGTTTTCCTTGTTTGGAAGGCCAGGCATGAATTTGTACAGTGGGACAGTGGTGTATGAACGTGGCTAGGTAGTGATAAGGAAATGTATGAAAGTATGTGTCAATGGCCTTCTATATTGAAGCTGGACAAAAATTATGAAAATAGTTGTATCCTGTGTAAATTTTAACCACAGAGTAAAGTCATCAGAAATAGATTTTAATTCTCAGGAAGATGGGATTACTGATTTTGTCAAACAATCTTTTTTCCAGACACGCAATGGGGTTATGAACAAATTTTCCACTGTGGTAGGTATGGAGATTATACATGAACTTAGTAATATGAATGAATTCACTATAAATGGACCCTCTTATAGCTCCAGCTAAAGTGACAACAGCTTGCACAACAAGAACAAGTGTCTTCAAAGGACATTTAACTTTTAAAGTTTTTCCCATAGCAGGATATGTTGGTCCCTTAATCAAGAAGTGAGAATGCGAGTAACACCATACAGCCTTACTTCTAACGACCAAATAGCAGAATTTTGTTTCCTCTTCCCACAAAGTTATGCTCTTCCTACAGTTAATACTTCGAAGTAGAGTAATTTTTCCACCATAAAGCATGTCTACCACAGGTCTTGAGTCGAAAGGTAAAGAGGAGAGTAATTGTGCCTGTGAGAGTGATTGCTACTTACCATTAAGAACAAATTTGTAGTACTAATTTATAATGGAGGCAAAGAGGAATATGTCTGAACAAAGGTAATCCCTTATGGCAATTCTTATTTTGTCTTGTGATGAAAATCAATGGAAAATTTTAAAAATCCATGGTAAAGGTTTTTAGACAACGAAGGTTGTGTCATTCCACAAGTTAAAGAATCACAATCAGCTTACTGAGGTAAAAGGAATATAGAGTGTGTAGAGAAAGGATGCGGTTATGAAAATCAGCCATGATTACATCACCAGTTATGAGTGTTTTCTTTTCACATTGTTATGAATGGCCTGAATATATGTATGAAGTGTCTATTTTTGTCACATATTTTCCCATATGACGCAATTTTATATCATAGCACTTAAGCTAGTGAATATTAGAGGGAAGAGTAATCAACTCTAAAGGACTTTACCTTTCTTCTGGAGAGAGTTTAACCTATTTCCTTATGAAAGCACAATAATTGTATAGCTCACACACCCTGAGGGAGATTATTTCCAACCCACCACCCTAGAGCTTACCAAAATTCAAGGAAGTAAAGTCCCTCACATGAACGGTCATAGTACCTGCATATTATTTGTGTATGATTTCTATGTTTAAGGATGACAAGCAAAAAAGTCTCTGCATGTTTTTCTAACTGTTTTCAATTTAAAATTGAACCTATGTGTGCAGGATCTGTGGATACAGAGAGTCAACTGCATTATGTTAGAATTATGATCTTGCTATTGTCCTTATTTGAAGATTAAGTGTGTTTGAAGGAAAGGCTTATGAGTGTGAAGGTTACAAGGGGTGGATTTATGATGTTAAATTTTCTGTATCAGTTTGACTGGGCCAGACGATCAAATCATATTTCTGGATGTGTCTCTGAGATTATTTCTAGAAGGGATTGATATCTGACTCAGTACAGTGAGTAAAGCAGATTTCTTTATGAAACATGAGTGGGCATGATCTATTCTGTTGAGTGTCTAAGTGGAACAACAGTGCAGACAGGAGAAACTTCCTCTATCTGACTGGTGGAGCTGGGATATCAATGCTCTGCTTACAATATAAGCATGAGTGGCTCTTGGGCCTTTGGGTGTGGACTTGAATTTACACTCTTAACTCTCCTGTGTCTATGCCTTCTTTTTTGGATTAGAAGTTATGCCACAAGTTCTTGTTTTCAGGCTTTCAGAGCCACACAGGAAATACACCACCTACTCTACTGGTTCTTTAGGTTACACATGGCAGATTGTGAGATTCCTGGGATTCGATATTTCATGAAATGATTTTCTATAATATATTTCTATGTAAAAACCAACTATATACTGATTCCATTTCTCTGAAAACTGACAAATGCACTGCTTTTCATAGATAAACAGTGATACAACCAAAGAATGGAATATTATTCAGTGCTAAAAAAAAAATGGAGCTATTGAGCTGTGAAAAACATGGAGAAAACACAAATGCACCTTTCTAATGGAAAGATGTAAACCTTAAAGCTGCATATGTATAATTTACAGACTATGACATTCTGGAAAAGTCAAAACTAGGACAGTGAAAAAAAATCCCCACCATGACATAAGAGGAAAGAATGAATTGAGTGAACACAAAGGATTAAAAATCCTAGAAGGACAGTGATGGCATTTTGGTGATACAGTAGCATACAGAGCACTACATATTTCTCAGACCCCATAGAATCCATGACACCAATTATAGTAAATTCTAATGTAAGCTGTGCACTTTGAGTGATAATGGCTTATCTCCATAGGAGGAGGAGGAGAATAAACGAAAGAGGAGAAGGAAGTGTAGGAGAAGAACGATGAACTGGAAGGTATGTTACCTGGGACAGTCAATAATAGTGGCCATATTTTTTATGGATTGCTGTGTTTCAATTTTATAGTTAATCATCAGACACTTTAATATGATAGTGTGATAATTGATAAAAGAAATAATATAATGATAGCCCAATAAATTTTTAGACATAATGGAAGATATACCTTCTAAATAAAATTAATTTTGCAGAGATATAAAATATGAAATCAATATTATGGATAATGAACCCATGTAAGAGAAAATCCATGTGTATCTATTATTTCATAATAATTATTTTGTGCATATGTGCAGCACATACACTAAAATCAGAGCAATACAGAGATTATCATGGCCCCTGAGCAAGGATGACATACAAATAATGTTTAAGCCTTTAGATGGTTCATTCAATTTGACAATAGATATTGGAATATTGTTTTATAGTAAGGAAAAATTTTAAACCACATATTTTAATAGCATTAAACTTCTAGTAATTTTAACATTTTAACTGATTCATTTAGCTCAAAATATTTTCAACCACATTGTAAATCTTCTGAAGTCTCTGCCTTGAAATGTACTATTAAATATGCTTTGTCTTTTTAAGATGAGTTTGCCATTGCTAGTCAATGAGTCTGTCTTGTGATTTATTTCAAAGGCAAAAAGAATATATTTACTTCATATTCATAATTATTTAATTCTAGTTTTAATCAAACAGTAATGGCAATATAATCTACTAAAATGTATTATTTAGCCTTCTACAATTTTTTCTTTCTTACAGTAAATCATGACACAATTATTAAAAATACAAGTAATTATTTACAGTCTTATTCCCTGTTCTAAGCTTAGGTTCTTAGTAGCTTTTAAATAGTCAAAACAAAATGCTTTTATTCATAAGAAAACTTCTACCATGCATATGGGAAAGTGTTGAATTTGTTAACATTTTTTATGTTATCCTTCTACCTACAGTGATGTTCTAAAATGCCATAGGATAAATTTACTCATATCCTCTCCATATATATGGAATAATAGCTCTATATGGTGCAAGGCTGAAACAGAGATCCAATGTCCCATGCTGAGACAAAAGTCATCTTTATGATGCTCCATCTACAATGAGAAATATTTAAAACATAGTAACTATAGGGGTTATCTATCAAACATGTGAATGAATAGTTATTTTCTGATCTTTAATACCAATCAGATGAAAAAATAATTGGCTCCTGAATGATCAGGATTAAATTGGAAAACATAGGTGAAAATTTAGTATAAATTATAGAATGCTGTATAAAAATAGGTACTATAGATACATAATCATTTTGCGGTTTTAGAATTATAAGGGAAATTTAGGCAAGCCAAGTAAGAGATGTAAAGGAAGAAGAAAACACTGGCTATATATCAAAGACTTGCATACAGAAGACAGATATTTTGCCTCAAATTCTTTATTATGAGGAGTGTCAGATATGGTGCCATGAAGCATAGCATAGTAAACGCTAATGAAAACTGCAACACAAAGAAGGAGCCAAATAAAGAATATGAATAATTGAATCAGTTCATCCCCAGCTCGTTTGCCTTTTATTCTTCATTTCAGTTAGTTACATGTCCATTGGTTATCACCAAGGTTATGCATGCACCTTGAAATGTTCACAAAAGGTTCAAGATACAGGGGTTCATAATTAGGTTATAATGTTATATTCAGAATCCCAGGGAAACTAATAGATTCTAGAAATATTCATTAAGCAAGATGAAAAACTCTTACACAGTTTCAACTACAACAATTTTAAAGACAGGTACAAGCTTCATCAGCCACAAAACTCACAAAAAAGTAATTGATTGAAGAATATCTCTTTTATGCAAAATATACATCTTATGATATAATTTAATATTCTACTATATACTGACATTATTCCTTGATCATTTAATAAAAAAATACTCTCATTGCCAGAATTTTACATTTTGTAATATTTATAATTGAGGTAACGATGACAATAGACTTAAACTAGTTAATACTGTTGGTGAATTTTCTTTTAAGCCACAGCAATTTTTCCATAGCTAAACAAATAGACTAAAAATAAGTCAGTTTGGGTAAACAGACACTAGAAATTTTGTAAAACAATTAATCTGATAACATAAATGTTTTGTAAGACAATAATATAGTCGATTAAGGATCCATCCATAAAATAGATACATGAAATTAAGTCAGATCTATATGACATGAGTATGCTGCCTTGTATAATTCACAGCACAACCTACGGCAGGCCCTTGAGGAGGAAAACAAAGAAACACGGGCCTTATTTGAAGCTTCAGAGATGTCTATCATGAACTTGGCTTCCCTTGATGTGAGTTGGCCAAAGCTGTTGATCCATGCACACATATTGGTATTTACAGTTGTTGATTCATGGCCACTGGTCAGTCTCTGAGGAAAACACTCACTCAAGGAACACCAAATCAGTTCCAGCCACAGTTCTCTTGTACAAGCTTTAAGTACCTCATGAAGATGTGGGGACTTCTTCCAAGTATAATCTGGTCAAATCAGGGCACATTCAGTAGCAGAAGTTGTTTCCAGTACAATCCTTGGTATGGCTAAATTCCAATGTCCCCTTTTCAGCAGTCAAAAATCCATGACACATTCTGTACAACACTGCAGTCAATAACAGCAGCACCAGACAGTATATTAATTCCTTTACCATAAATAGGTGTGTAATTATAACGTTCTACGTTTGATGTTATCAAAAGGATCACAGTATCTCTAAATATCACATACGTATGTCTGGATAAATACATTTCTGTACAAGATCTCTGACATGCAGTTCATGCTCTAGACTCAAGGATATACAGTAATACAAGTTTCTTTTGTCCAATAATAAAAGTGACAATTGTCTTTCTAACAAAAAATGAGCATGAGAACTAGGAATTAATAATCTCAAGGTTCTAGATACTTTAAAGCTATCTAACTTTCTATTTATATCATGGCATTTTCTCCTTTCATATGGCCAACACACTGCACACCCTATCGCTTTTGCATTTGGTAGAGCTATGTAAACAGACTTCCTTCCACTTAAACTTGGCAAGACTCCCAGGGGACTTTGCTGGAGTGTACTGATGAATACTGGTTGCTGGGTAGTAAAAACTTATACTGTACTGTGCAACCAAGTACCATGGTGAATTTGCTGCTTAAATGCTGCTTATCAAAAAGATTCACAGTGCAGATTAATTTAGGTAGTATATAGGGCGTCATTAATTTATACTCAAAGCAGAGAGGCTGCTTCAAATTGCAAAGAAGACAAGGGCAAGGAGTGAGAGAACCCAGTAATAAAATCGTGAATACCTTCTCAAGGCATTTCTACATTTCATGGAGACAGATGGCAAATACAGTTAAGACAGGGAGCTAAGACAGAAAAACAGAAACAACATACAGGACAAAGCACCTGATTAAACGCTGCCTGGAAATCTGATTTGTCGTTTGATTCAAAATTTTAAGGCTAATAGATAAAGCCTGTGAAAACCAGTGACTATTATAATTGGCAAAAATTAATGAATAAAAATAAAAGAGAAGGGTAAAAAGACACCAGAACTTTGGGTAATATATGGCCTTTTGCTTATAAAAATAATGACAAATCTTGGGATTAAAAAAGTTACTCTAGTACCAAGCAGCAATTTCTAACAAGGCAAGCCTGGCTGGCAGTTACCTTTCTCTCATGTTTTGTGCCTTCCCCAAGTCATTAAGTAAGAGATCTGGCATCGGCTTGCGTGTAACCAGTAATGACAACCTCTTTGCAGTTATCTGTGTATAAACAACCAAAGACATTCAGAACTCCAATACAGCATTTTTGAGGAAAAGCAAGTCAATAAAAAATTAAAACGATCTTAAAACAGATATTTCTATCAAAGAAGAAGGGAAAAGATGACAAGGAGAAGCTCATTGTCCTGCCCCACATTTCAACATGCAGAACAGTCAACCATTGCTTTCATATTAGCAGGATGATTTGATGCAAAATACACGTATCTTGGAGCCAGAGTTCCCAAACTCTGCAACATTGCTTTTGGTGACAGGGACAAGATGATCCATGCAAATGAGCTGACCAAAGTCACAGTATATGCAATTCAGATAGGATCCCAGACATCTTCGGAATGATTTAGTCACAAAAAAATGAAGTTCCAATAAAGTAGCTGGCATTTGAAAGCACACTTTTTAATTATATCTCCCTGAATATACATTTATATGTTAGTGTCCTGGCCAATATCTGACACTATATGACATTTTATTGCAAGGGGACATCAGGGCAATTAATATAGAGAAGTAATAATACTACTTCAGATAATCTTTAAAGCCAGGATAAGATTTTCTAGCTACTGCAGGTAGTATTTCTGACTTCAAATAGTAGACTCATGCAGGACTTATACTGTATTAATGGAGCCTGGAGTAATTCTATTTTATTATTTCCATTATGGGTTAAACAGGACTGGAATTGGTACAATTTGGCCAGCTGATGCAGTTTGGTTACAAGATAGATGGGATGGGAGATCGAGAGCGTCTCAGAGGACAAGGAGAGTTGTAAGGTGATGTGACTGGAGACAGCCTCAGAGCATTGCCTGCCAAGCCCGCTATGTTGTTTAAGCTTCGGGATTTTTCGTATCCTTTCATGAAAAAATGCACAGACATCAGTTGAATTCCACCAGAAAATAGACACAGACAAACAATATCATGCAGAGTAATCAAAAGTGCTATTTCTGAGCTCAAAAATAATTCAACATTGATATATTTTATAAGTCAAAAAAATGAAATTCACTATAACTGTCAAAATTCGAAATGATTAAGCCAACTCTCACAAATTACAGTTGTAAAAATATATCATTTTCCAGAATAAAATTATTATTGATTTAACTGTGGCATGTAAAATGCCAATATTTTTAAGAATTAGGCAAAGCAACTTAAGTAAGATATGGTCTTAATATTTTTAAATTTCAGAATGTTTTTCAGAAAGTAAAAGAAATAATGAGTCATTTTTCTCTTTTCATTTTTATTACTTGAGAAGCTAATGAAGCATGCTTAACTTTAGGTGAGCAACTCTTTTACTTGCATATTAATTCTTCTAGGATTACAAGGTCTAAATGATGATTTTTAAATAGTGGTACTTAACATAATTGTCATAGTGATATAGTACAAAATGCCCCTTTCTAATCATTTGAATAAAAATAAATAAAAGAATTAAATAGAAATTGTGTCACAATTTCCCTGTAATACACCTAAATTTGATTATGTTTTCAGCTAACTTCTTCCTTTTTCCTTCATCTCCCAGAAATTGAAAAAACTTTTCATTTTAATTCATCTTTTTTCTATTATCTTTTATCCTAATCTTTTGTTTACAATAACTAAACAGAATAAAACAGCCTCTCACAAACTAACCCAGTGGTTCCCCTTAGCGACTCAAGTAACACTCCCATTAAGATCTCCTTAAAATATTAAGGCAGTTTAATATATCATAATATTTTATTATAAAATATTAACAGATAGTTTAATGAAGTATAGATCATCTAGAGTAGTATGAAGTGAAAAGTCTTAAAAGCAGGGCAAATATTGATTAAAAATGTCCTATTATACAACTTTTCAAATAAATATGCTGACAGATCCAGTGAAAAAGTGTTATAGAACAGGAGAAAAAATTTCATTTTGAGCAACCAAAGATAAGTAAGCAGATAAAATTCTAGTGAACATCTTATCTGTGTTTTAATGTATAGCACACTTTTGACTCTACTGAGCACACAGCACGCTTGGTGACTGTGAAAGAAAAAGAGTGATTTGTTTGTTCTCAGGCTCCTACCAGCTACTCTTTTCTTTAATCATATCTTTTCTTAGAACTTCCAAGATAGAAGGCATTGCTATTCCTGTACTTTCACTGCAAGAAGAGACGTGACTTACCAGCTTATTTGACTTGTGTGAGATCAGCACAGATATAGATTGAAATCATAAATCTATGAGAGGGCAAACCCAACGAGGGGAAAAAGAGGGAATGGCAAACACTCATTCCCCACATACACACCCTTTAACTTTTAGTGGACTGCACGTCTTCTTTGAGATTTTTGTAAATAGAAACTTATGTAATCCATTAATCATAGTACAGTTTTCTAGAATGTAATTTCTGTTAATTAAAAAATTATGTTAGTGTTTGTTCGTATTCTTTGTAATAAAATACTAGAGGTGGTATATATTTCATTCTGTGCTGAAAGATGTTATAAAAATAAATTAAAGGATGTCTTAGATTTTTTTTAAATTTCAGTTAATTTATTCTTTACATAAAAAATCCTCACTGCCCAGAGGGTTGTTACTATTACTTCTCTGTAAAGTAACTAAATATTAATTTTGGAAAGTGTAGAAAATAAATTTATTCTACACAGGAGTTGATTGTCATATATAAATTTATGCTACCCTGTAAACATTGATTAGTGTTGATTTAAAGGGAAAAAGGAAAATGGTAAATATGCTTAAAAGCAAAAAAAGATTATTAATACCTAGAAATCATCAATTCAAAAATTATGACTTTGTCATTTACAATTTCCATTCTACCCTACAGGACTTCTAGAAATACAAAGATCTGTTTGACAGTTTTATATTAACCATGTGAGGGACAAATTATGATGGTCTAACTGTTAGCTATATTTCTAAACTATAATTTGCAACATGAATGCCATTTATACTGTTTATAGAGTTTTTTTTGCTGTTAATGATTTCAATATTCACTTGAAAGAGACCCTGTTCTAATTTAATAACAAGTATTTAATAAAAATGTATATCATTCACATAAATTTATATTTTTTATTCTACAGCTTTACTTATGGTTACAAAATTTGATAAGTAGCTTCCTAATTAAGCATTTTTAGAGAAGTTGAAAATATAAATTATTAGAATAAAAAACATTAAACATATTTTAACTAACGTCTGAATAGACATCTTGCACTTTGTTCAGTTCATAAGAGCATGTTCTTATTTGGGGCAATATTATAAGTATCAGTCCATGTTCATTATTGAGTATGTTCTTGTTGATAAAATATGGTTTCTTAAAAACTACTGTGTAATTAAAGAAATATGTTCTGTATGCTGGATTTCATTCTTTAAGAGAACCCTTAATTGTTCTTCATATATGCCCAACTATATTTTGTAAGTAATAGGAAGAATGCAATGGAAATCCAGTAGTTCTTTTGCATTTATATGAAAAAATTTTATAATTTTTAAAATAAAATCAATAGGCCAATATTAAAGGTAAATGAAGGGATCCTCTGGGAAATAAATGTCTGAGTAGAAGTAGTATATAATAGCTACACATGCCATTAATGAAAGAGAAAAATAAGTGAATAAATAATTGATAGATTATGGTAATACATCACACTAAAAATGCTTTAAGTTATACAGAAACGTTATTATACTTAGGAGACAAAAACACTTCATTACAAAAAGAATTAAGCAAGATTGAAAAACAGTTGATATGGCAAAAATGACAAAGCTTAAAAGCTCATAAAAGAATTTTTAAAATGTCCTCAATAATACTAAAATTTGTGTTTGTAAAATAAAATTGCATGTAAAATGGTCCCATTAAACTAGATATCTTATTAATTGCTTTGCTCATAAATTGTTCAATAATATGATAATTGTACACTTTATAATTTGCAAAGGCTTTTCTGATCTGTAATTTCTTTTGACAGTTTTAAAATTTAAGCTATTATCTAACAAAGAAAAAAATTTTAACAAAGTTCTTAAACATGTAGTCTTAGTATTAATGCTTCATGGAATACTTCATTAGATGCACAAAATGTACACAAATTTAATCACACATACATACAAATATGTACTGGTATAAGCTATAAACAATATACAAGTACATACATATATTTAGATAAGTAGATATCAATGTAAATATTCAATGCACATAGAACACATTCAGTATATTATTAGTTAGATATTATTATCATTATTTAATGTATGCACATATATTTTCCTCAAATACTATAGTAAGATATTAACTATCTTCACAAAATATTGAAATTTTGTAGCACATAGGCAAATGTGAAATAGCAAATAATCAAACACATTCAAATGGTTAAAATGCATTGTAATTCAAAAAGTAGATGCAGATGATGGAAATAATGGAATGGAGAAGTATTTAAAATATAATTAATCAGGAAGCAAGAGTCTTTTTGCTTTTGAGGCTCAAAGATATAAAAACAGAGGACAGTATAATATGATCAGAATAAAAAAAGTGTGAATTACAACATTAATAATGACAATTTTCAAAGAAAGTTCATCACAAAATATTTTAAGCTTCAAATGGCAAAAGTTAAACTGGAAAAAACTGCAATTAATACTAAATAGGCACATTGTTTAAAAATGCAGTTGCACTAATATGAAAATTTTGTGTTGGTTTTCATTCTAATTTAGTCAATAAATCTTAAGAAAATCACAGATCTTTCTGTTATACACTTTAACAGAGACACCACCCACCATTCTCATTCATTTGACAAGTCTTAATGTGTCAAGCAATGTTTGGTATCTGTTGAAAAATAGAATGAACTTAAAATTACTTTTACTCTTCCTGAAGAAAAATTCTACATGAACATTTTTAAGTTCACGAGCAACATACAAATGCATATATATGCACTTTCAAAGCTTTGAGACACTGACAAAAACTGATGATGTATTAGGTAAGAAATTTAGGGATGGAAATACAGCTCAGTGGCACAGTGCCTGCTTAGAAAGCATGAGGTCCTCAGTTCAATTCCCAATACAAAAAAAAAAAAAAAAAAATTTAGAGTTTATTTGGGGCTTTAAAATGAAAAAAGCTTATTCACTGTCTTATAGCCACCAATTACTTATCAAATATATTCATAAAGCCAATTAGCGTTATATGTTGTGGAAAAAAAAACCTTTTAAATACTGCTAAGTACATTTTATTAAAATAATTAGATGAATGATTTAATATTTATTTACATATTCCATTAAAATTCTGCTCACAGACAAATGGAAAATTAAAGGAGAAGAAAAAAGGCTGAGAAGCCTTTCAGATAAGACAATCAATTAGTCTATCGTGACAGGTGTTTTTAAATGTTTCAGATGAATGAGGATGGAGGTGGGGGTGGGAAGAAAAGATCCACACCTGCAGTCTTTCCCAGAAAATGATGAATGAGCCATTTACATCACTGTGTATTTCCAGCACTTATTTAATTGCTAAGTCACCTGTTATAATCTGATTAAATGCATGCCTACCTTTCCTGATCCCTTCATCAGAAGCACACGTGTAAGCACCTGTCGTCAGTAGGAAACATGTTTCCCCTCTTCTGTTTTTGTCTCTGGTACTAGAGCGTCTGATGGGAAGCCTTTCTGGGGGTGATAATGGCGGCTCACTTCCTGTACTGTCATCACCTGATAACACTGGTCACAGCACCATGCCCATTGACAAACAATGATGGATGAGGAAATGAGACAGTACAAAGAGTTTACACCATATGCCCATAGTCCAGTCACTCAATATACAAAACACAACTATTACATCACAGTAAAAATCATTTCCATCACTCATCACAAAAAAATTACATGAAGCAAAATGGAAATGTAAAAGAGCGAAATGTTCTACAGAAAAATTTAATTCCATTTTTGGACTCTGTCTAATAAAAGATTGGTTTTTATGTAAGTAGTATGAAATCAAAGTAAGTGGGATAGTGAATTAGCAAAGAAGTTATCTTAATTTGTTACATGCTATCCAGTACTGCGAGTAGGAATCTTCAGAAGGGGAGACTTTAAGAAAAAAAGTTATGGAAATATTTTTGCTGCAGTTCTTTTAGAGACCTTCTTTTATTATGTTCTGAATGTAATTTCCCCCAAAATATTAATAAAAATAATCCTAAAGCACAAATGTTTTATGTTTGGGTTCTCAATTTGGAGGTAGCAAAAATATTTTTGCACATATGGTGGAAATAGAACAACTGCTCTAACTGTCCTTGAAATAACTGTTTACATCTGTATGCTTGCCAAAGACTTTTGTATTCTATCAGCCTAAATATCCGCTTGTCATTACAGTGTTTACCAGAGATGAGTGTGTCCTCTTTTTCCATGCCCTTCTTAAGGGTTCTGCATGGACACTCTGAGATCAGTCTAATTAGTTGTACAGCAATATCTACTAAACTTCCCCTTTCCTAAAGACATTCTTAATAGTTTTCAGATATATAATGATAGAATTTACAGAGCAATTACTAACAGAAGAATTGTGAATAAAATATGTAAATAGCAGCTCAGCTCCAGCCACATCTTCTTTCTGTTTGTCTCATAAAGATGTCTGGAAGCTAAGGAGAGTGAAAATAGCACCTGTATTGCTCATTAGTTTGCTTGCATTGCAAAGTGGTATTATTTCTACAGGGTGCAAAATTATTCATGTGGGATCCTCATAAGTCATTTTTCTATTAGAAAAAGGTTGAAGTATACTTAAATCATAGGGGATGAATATACTTTAAAATCTTCATAGTGCAATAAAATCTATTTACATTGTTAAAGTACAAAGTGGTTCATTTTGCAAGATATGATAGACTAGAGCTGAAATTATTGCCAATGACTGTGGCAGAGTGAATATCAATTTAGTCAATGGATGATCACCTATGGAAGGAGGGAGTAGGGATTCAGGTAATCTCACACAAAAAGTTCACCAATATTCAGATCTGGTAGGGAGCAGAATCCAATGCATAGTGAATAAAAAGGACATCCACAGAAATTCAACTCTGTCATTAATTAGCCAAAGCAGATTATGCCCTGAATAATTGTGAGTTGATCATAATACATGGTATCTTGCCTCACCAAAGGGGTTGTATTAAGATACCCTACCTAACTTAAGAACAATGAAAATTTAGTCATCCACAATATTAGTAAGAAAGTGTTTTGTTATTGAAAGAATTATCTTCCATATCACCTCTTTGGTGTTTAGACCTTTGATAGGTAAGCATCCATTTTTCTTAAATAACTTCCTGTGAGTTAGGTTGAGATGCATAGTACTAAGTGGCAGAGCTAAAACTGAGACAAACACATCAAGTCAAAAGATATGGAGATCAACATTTGGAATGAAGGATGGAGAATGGCCGATATCATACCATCACATCATGCAGAGAAACAAAGAAACATTGGCACAGAAGCAACAAACAGGCAAAAGAAAATATTGGCATCATCAGCAAAAGGCATTCCCACTAAAGCAAGAGAACTCTATAGACCAGCTATGCAGTCTTCTATTTGGGATCCGTTTAGAAATGCTACCATCTAACTATCTACAAGCCTGACACAAACACATATGTTATAAAGAAATAGGACTGAAAACTTATGAACATTTGCAAACAAATGAGAATCGCTGCCTTCTGCCTAAGGGACACACTGGTCTATAAAGTACTAACATGCACTTGAAATTGTGCCTTACCTGATCTGTTATGTTCCAGGAGTCGGTTGTCTTTGCCCAGACATGTGTCACTCTGTGTACTATTGCAGGCCATATTTAATTCTGTCTTGCAAAATGTAGGTGAGCTTGCCTGAGGGGCAGGAGGAATGTGCTTCTTTCTTTTTCTTGGAAGTTTCTGTTTGGCCATTGCCAAGGAGTAGTACATTCCAAAATTGTTGACAATCACAGGAACTGGCATGGCTATGGTCAGCACTCCAGCCAGAGCACACAAGGCTCCCACCAGCATCCCTGACCATGTTTGGGGATACATATCCCCATATCCCAGGGTTGTCATGGTCACAACAGCCCACCAGAACCCAATTGGAATGTTTTTGAACTGTGTATGCTCACTAGCAGAAGGGTCGTTAGGTTGAGCGCCTACTCTCTCGGCATAGTAGATCATGGTAGCAAATATCAAAACTCCTAGAGCCAGGAAGATTATCAGCAGCAAAAACTCATTAGTACTAGCTCGAAGAGTGTGTCCAAGCACCCTCAGACCTACAAAATGGCGGGTGAGCTTGAAGATTCTCAGGATCCTCACAAACCTTACAACCCTGAGGAAGCCAAGGACATCTTTAGCAGCTTTAGATGACAGCCCACTGAGTCCTACCTCTAAGTAGAAGGGTAGGATGGCCACAAAGTCAATGATATTCAAGAGATTTTTGATGAATTCAAGTTTATTGGGTGAAAAAACAATACGGACTAAAAATTCAAAGGTAAACCACACGACACACACTCCTTCCACATAGGTCAAGGCAGGATCCGTTTCAATTTCATATTGTAAAACGACACTCGTCCCATTGATGACTGGTTCTGTCTTGTTTTTAACAATATTGAAAGCTTCATGGGTCTCCAGGCAAAAGGTTGTGATTGAAACCAAGATGAAGAATAAAGAAGCAAAAGCAATAAACTGCAGAAGAAAAAGAAATAAAAAAGTATGATCTGAACCAAATATACTTCGATCCAAATCTAAGAACATCAATTCTTGTAAATAAAAAAAGAACAACACATTTCGAACTTTCATTTATGTCGTTCAAGTAAAAGAAGACTTCTGTATGTAACATTAATTAGAGTATAAACATAATGCGTATTAATTTGTCAGCTCGTATACAGACATAGTTTTAGTTTATGCTGAATGATAGTGTCTTGAAACTTTTACTAAGAAATAATAACCTGTGAAGAGAGCACACAAAATTATTCTGAAAGAATTTTGAAGGATAACAGGCTGAAAAAAGAAAAGAGAAATTAGATCAGGGCTCCAGATTTTGTGTGCATTCCCAGAAAACTTATTATTAAACCAAAGTTTATATTTTGTAAATATAAATGTATGGAGGAAAAATTGAAAATGACACAAATTTAGTTGTAAGGTTCCATTTATAAATAAAATATAACATATATCATGAGATATAAACATAAAAAATTTGTAATACATTCTACAATTTAATTTAGCGACTTAAATGGAGATCTGTCTGATGGAGCAAATCTGGGGAAGAAACACAGAGAGCAAGGCTGAAATCAGAAAAATCAATTAAAGAACAAATTAAAAGGCAATTTTCTTGCTCTATTAAAATAACTTTAAAGTATTCAAACTAGAAATTATAAGGTTGTAGTTTTTAATTCAACTCTTTATTTTTGCTTTCTTCAGTAAATAATATATTAACATGCACATACCCAATAATAAGGTTTCCATTTGTAGAGACCTGACTAGTACCAGGAACGATTGTAACAAATTTGCATAATTAATTCACATCACTCCAAATAACAACATTACTACTAGCTAAATTTTTGGTCCAGGAATAGTAATCCTGGCAAGTCTGAAAAAGTTTACTCTCTAAAATATAAAATAATAGACCTGAGAAGCTAACCTGAGAGTTTAGCATCATATTCTGCTTTCTTAACTTGTCAAACTCTTAAATACAAAAACAAATACATTGGGAATCATTTATTTAGAACAGTATCACATATTTCTTAGTATTCATTATCTGAAAATTGAAAGCCAGTGGTGTAAGTGAATGCTAGGAGCTTTACTGGCCGACTTCTACAGCTGTCATAAATCTGAGATTTAGCACACCAAACAACAGTGTTCTTTGAGTATCTAAACAAAGGAATTGTTCAGAAGAAAAATAAAAAAGTGGAGAGAACCTCTCATTTGGAAATGATAACGTACCCAAAGACTGTTGCGCCCTAACATCTCCTTCTCAAGCATGCCACTGAAAGGGACTCACCAGGTCTCCCAGATAGACTGTGATTGTTTTAAAGGACCAACTGAAATTATGGAACTATTTTTCTGCATAATGCTGGTTAGTAAAGCTATCCCGTGATGGTATGTGACTGTCACTTTTGTGACTTTGACTTGCTTTCTGATGTATATTTTTCCTATTGTCCTTGTTTTGGTATTATAAACTCACTTAAGTAGCTATTTCAAACATATTGCAAGGTATTAATTTTTCATAGTTTTCATTTTATATGAATAAACATATAATTTTTTTCAATCAACTAGTTATTGTACAATAACTCAGACCCAATACACATTGAAAGATGCTGCCTATTAAAGCAAGAATTTGTTTTAATTTATATATAAATTATTCCTTAATGTAATCACAATTTTATGTACAGATTTGAACATTATACTTTTTGTCATTCTACTAAACTCTTTTGTCATTAGAATTCTAATATGGTCAGACATGGTAGCCCACAGCTGCTGTAATCCTGGAGCTATAGGGCTGAGGCAAGAGGATTGGCAGCAGTTCTAGGTTAGCCTGAGTTACACAGTGAGTTCCAGACCAATCTGAACTACATAGTAAGTAGTTTCAAAAACAAAATTCTGTTAACACACCTCTGATTCTTTCCATTTGCCTTCCCTAAAATTCTCATCTTGTCTCCAGCATCTCATGCTGAATGCCAAAAAGTTTTAGTGCACAAATTTCATCAGCAAGGCAGTAAGAGAGTATAAGATAACTAAGCTACAACTTTATTTTATTCTTCTAATGTTGCTCCATGACCATTTGTCACCTAAATTTGCAGTCTCAAATTTCACTTACATAAATGTACTGCATTCAGTATGTTCTCTTTAAAAACACGTACTACTGTGCCCACCATATCCATAAAATAAAAGTTTGTCTATATAAAACACAGTGCCTGTTATAAGGTTATTTTCATTCATTCATTCATTCATTCTTCATTTATTCATTCATTCATTCATTCACTGTCTATGTCTCTCTCTACCAGCCCACAGGTTAGGTTTCTAATTTAACAGCAATTTACCAGTGTAATCTCTGCATTTGAGGAATTCACAATGCATTGCTAGGGATACAGGCATGAAATTCATCAATCACATAAAAATTATTTGATTACAATTGCTACAAGTACAGTGAGAGAAAAAGTCTTTTAAAAGGATTGAAAAATGAGCTAAGACTGGCAAGTCATTGAGATCTCTGACAAAATGTTCAGGGGCTAAAGTTTGAGGGCTGGGTGGAAGCCCATGGAACGGAAAGGGTAACTTTGAGTATCACACAATAAGAAGTTTTAAATGTGAAAATATGGACTTTTAATCTTAATTTTTCAATTGACCCTTGGCTGTAACACTACAAAAACCACAGGTTTTCCACATTTGCCTATGTGGCATAGATTGTGATGCCTAAATCCCAATCTAGCATAAACCCTCTACCTTTTTAAAGCTTAATCTTTTTTCCTAATGAAATTTTAATCAACCAGAAATGAGTTTTAAAGTGAGGTTATAAAGTTACATTACAGTTTAGTTGCTGATAGTGCTACTTTGATTTTATTGTCGACAGAATTCACTTGTCTTAAGTTATTCTACAGAATGATTTTTTGAAATGATGTTAAAACATAAAATATATAGTAAAATGATTTTCAATTGAAAATACTATGCATATGCTAGAAACAACTTAAGAAGACCTTTTAAAAATACAATCATTCCTCAATATGAGCTTCTAGAATCTGAAAGTTACGTTCACTAAAGAAATTAATGATACTGTCAGAGAAAGGTGAATAACTGTCAACACATTTATGGCTAAAAGATACTTGTAAGTACCATGAGTCATCTTATCCTTGGAAACAATTTAAATTACCTATATTCCTGGAAGAAGAGGGTTGTATGAAGTCATGTGTGTTATAATATACACAGTTACTGCACAAAAATGTGAATTTCTTTTCCCATCATGACATACAAGACCATTTTGCATAGGCAGAAGGAATCAGCATTTAGTAGGCTTTCAAGGTAACTGCACTGCATACTCAAGTTTGAAAACCAGCTTCCAGTGAAAATGAGCTCGCAGTGTGTTTTTTCAAAAAAACTGATAGCATGCTGTCCAACAAATTGGAAGAATCTTCAAATTATGCACATCTGTAGGCTGTTGAGAGAATCCTACTGCAAAGAAGACCAAAAAAGAAAAAGAAAAAAAAAAAAAGGTGTGGGGGGAGAAGTCATTCATGGAAAGCAAGATACTCACATAGTTTCAAAAACAGAATAGTAGGCCATAATGCCAAGTGAAATAAATCAAACACAAAACATTAAATATTGCATGTGCTCCAGAATATGATAAATCCAAAAGGTAAATAAGTTAAAGAGCAAAATAAAATAGACATGGTGAGAAACAAGGAGGTACACTCTGTGGAGTTGGGAATGGAATGTGGATAAGGAAGGAGAGGGGTCGAGATACCAAGGGTGCATGTTCCAAGTCCCTGAGACTAACATAAGTATTATGTATGGCAAACACATGCTAAAATTATTTTTTATGTAAAGTAAGGGTGAGAGTCATCAGAAGAAATTGAGTCCCTATGAACATCCTTAGAGATTTGGGGAGAATGTAGAGTGCTTTCCCTGCAAACAATAGAAATTTAATTTATGAGCATCTTAATTTGAGTATCAAGTAAATGTGTGACCATAGAGCTTAAAAGACTGTAATTAGCCAGGGGCAGATAATTGAACTGTATTATCAAGGACTTGATACACTTTGTTAAAACTTAATTCTAAGTTCTTCGGGTATAAAATTCTTCTTTCGCATTGGCTTACTGAATAGAACTGGGGGAGTAAAAATGAGGTTAGACTGAATAATATTAAGAAAAAAATTTAAAAAGAAGGGAAGAAAAGAAAAGAGATTGTATTTATTTGCCTTTCATCTACACTAAACTGAGATATCTTTAAGGACCTGAATTTTGTCTTACGTATTATTTTATCTCCTACTCCTGACACACTGATTAGTACTTAATGTGGCAGGATACATGACTCGAATGGTAGAAAAGTAAATAAAATATTAATAAATGAGAAAAATGATTTTAATTAAAAATAGAAATTAAACAATAAAGTTTGAATATCAAAACAAAAATAGAGAATTTTACAACACAGTCCAACTGAACTAGCTCACTCACCAATGATGATGCCAATAGTAACTTCCATTCAGTATTAGAATATGTCAGGGAAGAGCTGAGGGAAAGCCACATGGCCACTTCTCTCTTCCTTTCCCATTATAATAATACCACAAATTCTTAGAGGCATTGAATGAAAATAAAATCAAGCATGATGAATAATTAAAATGTTAGAAAGCTTTCCAGCCAGACAAGATGAATCCTATTGACTGAATTCACAGAACTGATGTATCATTCCAGGCAGCTTCAGAAAAGAAAATTCTGTTAAAAATCAGCTTATGAGTCTAACACGTAGAGATTTTTCCTCTATACGTCGGTAAGTCCAGTGTCTGTGTTTAAAAGAAAAAGTCTTCAAAACTCTTCTCCCCACACCTGGCATCTCAGTAGGAAACCCTTAGGTACCTATATAGAAGGTATCATATTAACATAACTCTATATAATTAATTGAGCAAGTATGTATAACAAGTTTATTCAACTAAACAAAAGTGAGCTCTAAAACTTACAGATTATCACTGAAAGTAT